AGACATGAAAAACCTTCTTGAGAGAGCAACCTTTTGATGTGGTAGTTTTTACACCTTTAGAGAACAGAAGTATCCTGCTTTCCAAACATGACAATCGTTATGGTTCTTGGGCGAGAAGTGCGCTCATTGCATTGAAAATTCTTCCATTTGCCCCGTTAATAAATAGAAATTTCCAAGTTATGGGAAGGTTTGATAATTTTAAGAAGGTAGAAATGTGATTCACTTCAAATACGCTTATCGTTCTGCGGACATTGTTTGTAAGAGGAGTGTGCATTTTAAAAACAGAATAGGGAATGCGGCAGTAGCATGTGGAGCCACTTGTTACGTGCATAGGCGAGGGATCATGTCTCGGATCGAATCTCGCACGCTAGATATGGTATTTTCCCAATTAGTCCATCATCAAAAGATGAAAAGATAGGTTATCCTGGGAGCAATTTGATAGATTGGTCACCCTGCGAAGATTTTGATAACCGTTCCGTGCAAGAACGAGCGGTACCTCTGAGCTTTACGCCATCTCTCCCATTATCCCTAGTGCAGACATGAAACAACGAAACACTTTCTCAACTCACGTTGAAGAGAGCTGCAGGGATCGGCGTTTTCTTCCTATTTTTAAGACTATGCAGTTGAGGGCTGATATGGAACAGCCATTCGCAGACTTCAGCGAGAAGCCAACTACCGACGGCATTCACCTACAATTATGATCAAACTGTTCTCGTCACATGTAAAGCATATGTACTGAAATAAAGTTACTATAAAACAAGAATGACCTCCTCCACAGGTTGAACATTTGACGGCTCCTCTTCGGTTTCCTCTTGAGAAGAAGAACTGCTTCTGCTTCGACTTGGGCTTCCTGGCTGAGAATCGGACCCGCTTGATGCTCTTCTTCGCCTGATACGAATGACCTAAACGCTTCGTTTTCTCAACGTCGCAGCTCCAGAAAATGAGAAAAGGTTTACCTCGTCATCGTCGACATTATTTTCTGTCTGAGTAACAACGACCTTATCGATGAGGCACAAATAGCAAGAACACAGGAGGGTCACACAGCTAATGAATGCGTCTTCTGAACGAATAAGATATGCAGAATGGAACTATAAACTCAAGATTTCTTCCCACTTATAGGCGTTAATATATTTTCTGATATTCACATAATGGTTGTGTTCTAGACATGAAAAGTCATTTTCAAACGGATACTTCGCCGTTGGTAATTTGAACGGTGAGACTCAGGGGAATTCAGGGCCCAAAGCCGTTGTCCAACCAATTCGCATCAAATAACCTACATCTGCTTAAGGTGGTGTCAGG